AACTGCCAGCCAAACCTAGCCTGACCAATGCATAACGCGCTACTTCAAAAAAAAAAAAATCTCTATAGCCTATAACTCTATAGTTCATTAACAGCTAAAGATTTAAGCTATTGAAGACACCGCTCTACGATTTGAAGACGACGGATAATAACAATCTTCCTTAAACAAATTTGTTCATTTGAAAAATATATTAAAATTAAAACTTAATACAAATACGTATAATTTTATATATATAAAAAATGTTAAAATTATCATGTACGCAAGACAAGCTTTGTATGGGGCAATAGTGTATCAAAAACCTGAAACCATAGAATTTTCGCCAAAATGTAGACTACGTTTTCTTTAATAAATTAACAGCAAAGGCGCCATAGTAAAAATCATTGCCTACATTTGGACAGATACTAGTAAATTATTTCAGGGCAGGTTTTAAATTAATCGGCTAAATAGGAAAGAAAATTTAAAATTTTTAATTAATCTGATACTTAAATATAAGTTTAAACAATTGTAATATCACCTCATACATTCCATTATATTATTTTAATTAAGTCTATTAATTGGCTTCCTCTATTGTGGAGTTTTCCACACACGAATTATATATTTTATAGCAAAAAAAAGATGAAAAAAGTCATACACAGTCTTTCAAATAATTTGATTATAAAAAGGCGCCAACAACTGTGAATATAAATAACGATGCCCCCACTCAGAGTCACACATATAACATATACAATTAAATGAGCGCGCACACACACACATTGCCATTCCACCCGCTTGTTTGCCATACGAAAAGCGCCACAAAACAATCAATATATTAATAACAGATCCTAATAAAGCATTAATACACCCGGAAGCCACGGGGAGCTAAAAAAGTATGTTTGTACTTTTGTTGCTGTTTTTCTATGTAACCGCCACATAAAACACACAAAATCGCTTTTAAATTGTTGTCGTTGTTGTTATCACTTTTTGTAAGCGCCGTTATTGAAAATCAAAAATCCAATTCACAGAGAGGAACACAATTTAAGCTTGGGCATACAAGCACACAAAGCGTACTTACATACGAACATGATGCCAGAACACTTCGTGCTAAATAAATAGCGCCTCCCCACAACAAAAAAGCCTCTTAGTAAAAAATCGAACAAAAAAAAAAGGCAAAGGAAACAAAATGAAAACAAATCAAAGTTACTGAAAGTGAAAAAGGAAGTAAAGCATAACAGTAACGAACGAAATAAAATAAAAACCGTCGAAAAATCAATCAACGAAATAAATCAAAATAATATCTGACTGAGCTGAGCATAGGGGCGTGTGAGCGCCAGCAGTGGGGGACCACCGGTTGTTCATGCTATATGCCACTAGAGGCAGACAGGAGTGTGAGAGTGTATAGCTAGGTAGGCGGGGTACTCATGGCCACGTTTAGAATGAAATTGGAAAAAAATGTGGAAAAAATCGAATTGGCGCATTTTTGGGCTGGCGGCTGCTGGTCGGTCGACATTCTGGCGTCGCTGGTGGTTGTCTGTACATTTTGCCTTCTTTGTTGATTAGTTTTGTTGTGCTGGATGCTGGCGACGAAATTCGATTCATGCGGTCGTGGATTGACTAACGGCTAACAACAGACTCTGACTAACTGACTGCCCGTCCGCCGGCCTGCCTGGCTTTTCAGGACGAAATTTGATTAAGCTATGAAAAGGGCGGCCAGCCACAGCCTTATAATAAAAATAATAATACAAAAACACAAAAGCTATGGTGGCAGCAGCCACAAAAGCGCAGTTTATGCGGCAGCTGTTGCATAAACTACAAAAATTCAAATACATAGAAGCTCAGAAAAAGGAGATCGAGTTTAAGAAGAAAGCTAAAAAAGGCAGTCCACAATAACAAATTTGATGAACCTTGTATGTATGTGTGTCAGTGTGTTGTGAGCAGTGATGTAGCAACATTGTATGCCACATTAGAAGTTTGAGCAAGAAGTTAGTTTGGTCCAAAGTTAGCTTTTTTTGTTGTGCCGCTTGTGCTGCCATCAGTCAGCCATGTGCGGGCCAAAAGTTCTGCAGGTTGCACAGTGGAAAAATCTTGTCGAAAGTCTTTAAAAATATTTGAAAAATTTGTCTAATTACCGTAAGAATTAATCTTAATTAAGGCATCCGATTATTCTATTACCAATTCAACTAATTAAACATAACCCTTTATTCATTATTAATTTACTTGAGTTAATTAATCAATAATAGCTAAATAATTTAATTAAAAATTTATCATTAATCAATTAATCATTATTATGAATAATCAGGAATTAAAGTAAAATAAATCCATTTAGATTTGATTATAAATCGAATATTTCAATTAGTGTGTCTCTCCAGCAGCTCCAAAACGTAATATATATATATAATAATATATATATATATATAGTTGTTTTTTCGAGATTAATTATTTTTGAAGCATTCTAGGAGAATCGATAATTCAAAAAGTTAATAACCAAAATTTTTGTTTTAATTTTTTAAGTTCTCCCACTGTGCTGTAGTTGCCTCAGCTACTTTGGTGTTGGTCCCTTGCAAAGTGTTGTTGTGGGCGGCGCTTTTCAAGTGTGTGGTTGCTACAAGTTGATCTATAAAAGGCAGTGATGTCACACAGCCGTCGACGCCGGCCTGTTCCACTGCCATTGGGAATTTGGAAGCAGCGTTTGTGTAGCTACATCATGTTCAGGAATTTATTTTTTATTTTTATTTCAATTTTATTTTATTTTTCTCTGCTAGCTTCACCGACGATTTGTGCACGTCACGCCGGGATTTGTAAAGATTTTCAGTAATTTGCTTTTAAGATATTTTATTTTACATATTTAAATTTTTTTTGTTCAAAATCAGTGAGTAGCAGTTGCGGTAGACGGAGTTTAATATTAGATAAGAAAGTTTTTAAATTTTATGCAGTAAAAGTTCCGAAAACTCCAGTAGAAACTTCAAGAGAAAGCGAAGGGCTGATAGTAGATCTGGCATTTGTATTCTTTACACTGCACTCAACGCACACCAACACAACTAAATACAATAAGTATGAGCGGTATAAATAGCCACTAAACGACTGCATAGATTGTACATTCGACGCTTTGTCGCATTGCGTTTTATCCTTAAAAAAGTGCAAAAATAAATCAAGAAAAAAATGAAAATCGGAAAACAATAACAAAAGCAATTGCGCCGCTATTGTCGTTTCATCAAGTTTTGCTGTTGACCATTTGGTCTTTTTTTTTGGGTTCGTTTTTTTGTTGCTTTGTCAGTCAAACTTACATTTCCGTTGGTGGATTGGCTTTGTTAGCAGGCTTCTGGTTTCTTTGCTTGGCTGGTTGGCTGGTTGGCCGCTTGCTTGCTTCTGCTCTTTTGCATCTCGTCAATTCAATTGTTTCATTGTTTTAACCATTTTTGTACCAATCGTGCCTACACACACATATACAAAAGCCCATAGCAAAAGGTGCTACCAATTGGCTGGTCAACAGACCGCCGCTGTCAAGATTTCCACTTGCCACTACTGCTGTTCGGCCGCTTGGCAATCGCCCTTTGTTGGTCAGTGTTTTGCCCAACGTTCAACTATTCAAATTGGACACTAAATGTGTCAGAGGAACTCTCTTAATTGTGTGATTGATTGATTTATGGTGAACAGGTTACTTCCCTGGCAAGCCAAGCCAAGCGACGAATGCGGTGGCCAGCATTGCAGTTGGCAAATAAAGTGGACGGAGTCCTTGTTGCCTTTGCAAATGCACACATGGGCATTTGTGTTTGTATGTGTGTGGGTTATATGCATGTGTAGAAATCGCTTGGAGTGTGGCTGTTGGTGTGTTTGGCGGCATTTCTGTGAATTTGCCTCTTTTCTTTTGAATTTATTTTAATATGTATTTACTATTCTTGTGTAAATTATTAATACATATCTTTCCAAAACAAGGCAGCAAGAACTGATTGTATTATATTTTATTTAAAAAAATTATTTTATTCGAAACTAAAGACACAAAAATAAAAATTAAAAAAAAGTTTAAAGAATTAGATTAAGTTAATCTAGGTTTAAACTGAAATGGATGTAAATAAATTAACTTAAACCAAAATCAAGAAAACTAAAATAAATTAAATAAGACTAAAATTAAAAAAGTTACATAAAATAATACCAAATGAGATAAATAAAATTAGAAAATAATTTGAAATTAAAAATGAAAAAAAAATAGATTGAGTTAATCCAAGTTTAAAATAAAAAACATAATAGAAGTAATTAAATTAAATTAAGCCTAATTTAAGAAAACTAAAATTAATTTAATAAGACTTACTTGAAAAAAATTAGAATAAAGTGAAGTAAAATAAAAAAAAACAAAAAAAAATCTAAATGAAATAAAATAATATGAAATAAATATTAACAATAATTAAGCTTATATAAAATTGTAAAAGTTACATAAAATAATAAAATTCGAAATAATTAAAATTAGAAAAGTTTCTGAAATTAAATATAAAAATTTGAAAATTAAAAAAATTGGATTAAGTTAAGCTAAGTTTAAAAAAACATAATACAAGTAAATAGACTAAATTAAATTTGACAAATTAAAATAAAACAAAATATATACATTTAATTAAATTAAGGAAAACTGAAATAAAATAAATAACACTAACTTAAATTAAATTACAATAAAATAAAATAAAATTATAAAAAAATAAATAAAATATTTGAATAAAATAAAATAATACGATAAAAGTATTAACAACAAATTAAGTAAAATGAACCTAAAAAACACATAAAATAATATAAAATGAAATAATTAAAATTAGAAATGAATATAAATTTAAAAAAAAAAATTAAAAAAAAAAATAAAGTGAAATTAAATAAAATACATTGAATTGATATATAAAAAGCAAAAAACATAAAGTAGTTAAATATAAAAATTTTAGATCAATCGTTTTTACTCTCTTGATGTTAAATTTAGGGTTATTATTTTTGATTAAATCTAATATAAAAATGTTTAATACGATCATTTTCGCTTTCTCTCCTTTCAGTTTGTTCCCGAAAATGCGGATTGCCTAAAGGACACGATTTGTTATCAGGTAAGCTGAAGTATCAACAAAATTTTATTTAAGCATTAAACATTTTGATGAATTGCTAAGCTACCTCTTGAAATCAAAGATTTTGTGTGCGAACATACGAGTTCATATACATACATACATGCATACAGATGTAGGTGTACGGCGACGTGTTCAACATCACGTCAGCAAGCTGTAGACAGTGAATGAAATTTCATATTTGTTACAAACAGACAGACACGCGTCGGGGATTAATGTCAGTTACATTTTAAAGAAATAAATTACTTTATAACACATATTAAAATAAGCCTGCAACGGCAACGGACATGAGATATGCGTGATACCAACAACAGTCGACAACAATAAGGATATATGTAGGATTTTGTGGCGGAAATTTGACTGGACAGAAATTATGGCAAATGCGTTAAAATGGCAATCAACGCATTTCGAAAAGTAAAAAAATTATTATTAAAAATGAAAGAAATGAGGAAATGCAAAAGCTGTGAGAAGTTGGGATAAAATAAGCGCATCAGGAATTTATTTGCATACAGTGTTGTATGTATGTGTGCGTGTCTGTGCTGCTCATCTCACAAGAAAGTGCGCAGAGCGTATTGTCTATAAATTGATAGATATATACATATGTGTGTGTGTGTGTAAACATATTAGCGCGGCAATCCAATTAATCACGCCGCGGTTGCTCGATTGCTGGCTTAAAAGCCTATAAGCTCCCTATAGCGAAATTCACATGTGCCAATGTAAGTATGTGCATACACGTATATATAATTTTACGTATGTTTGTACAATAAAAATGTGCCGTATCCCAACTTACCTTTAAGAATCTTATAATAATGACATTAAGCACATTAAATGACAACTGAAACTGGCTGAAGAGCTGAAAGCTGAAAGCCGAAAGCTGAACAAAACAAAAAAAAAAAAAAAAAAAATACATAAAAATAAATAAATAAATTGGAAGATAAGTAGATAAAAATATGTATGACGAAAATATTCGCACATAAAAATTAAAACGCCGCACAAAAGAAGAATGTTGCATGAAAAAAATGAGCAATTCTACGCACTCGCAGGCTGAAATTCTGCGCAAAGTGGCCGCAAAATACTTTTGTTGAAACTCCACTTGCACAACCACGACAAGCACCTTTAGAATGTGCGATGCGTGCACACACACATACATACACTCGCGCAGGTTCCACTTGTGCACGACGGTTGAATTTGTGTCGCAGGACCTTCGTCACTCAAAATGTTGTCATGTTAATTAGACTGACAGTTTGTACGGATCAATTACAGACGCTGTCGACCGAACGCCGGCCAATGCGCGATGGCATCTAGCTGGACAGGGTGGACTGCTTGAACACAGCATCCGCCGCAGAGGGTTTAAACATGCCTTTAGGATGCTTTTCTTGAAGACTTAGTCGCTTGTATAGTTATATGCCGCAATATACAATAGCAAGAACAACAATAATAAAAAAGCTGTTTTGCTCTTATATCCAGTTGGCGAGTTTAGGCTCATGCATATGTACATACGTACGTATGCTGCGTAAATTCTTTGAAGTATTACATACGTGTATGTATGTTTGTATGCTCACAGCTATATTGTGGCATAATATATATTCCTATTCTTTTCCAATTTAACGCTCGAATCGCCTCCTACCACTTTTATAGCTGTGCCACATGGCGGTACATGCCGTTCATGCGACCAGAACAAATTATGAAATTAAAACGCCAAAAATATGCGAGATTTTTTAATTGTAATATTTTAATATTGCTTATTGCTTTATACTGTTTTTTTAGTGGTACCGAGTTATATATATTTTTTTTTTATGTTGTTTTGCATAAATATTTTTTTTAATAAACATTTCATCACTTTTCTACCCTCAGGAGTTGTTCTACTTTTCTCATATATTTTTTTATGACGACTTGTTGACTGAAATCATAATTAAAAGTACCGTTATTCACAAATTAAAACAAAAATTTTCTTCTTCCAGAGAGAAGACTTAAAATCACTCGTTATCGAATTGTCCTTCAGGAGAGTTTTGTCCGCTTGAGACGCATGTCTAATATACTTCTTATGAATTCTTCTCAAAAGATTACCGTTAAAAACCTTCACTTGCTCTGCACTCACGTCTAGATGATATAAATTACGCTTAATTATATACGTAGGCAGAGGTGTAGGTCAAATACTGACGTTACTTTGTCAAAGTCAAACAACTTTTGCAGCACTCACCTGAGGCAACATTCACTTCTAGCTGAGCTTAGCTTTAAATTATTGAATAGCATAGCGAGCCTCGACCCTTGGGTTTCCGAAATAGCAGCTATAGTTTCTACCGTCCAAAACTATTGTTGAAATTTTTTTTACTACATCCCAAAAATATATGGCCTGAGACAGTTCTCTTAAACAAAAAACCAAAAACAATTCAATAGAATAATGACCTGAAAAAGCGTCTAAAAATTATTTGATATTTAACAAGACACTTTCTTGGATAGTTCGAGTACTGCTTCGAAAAAACATGGATGATAAATTTGCTCATAAAAATCCATCAACCGTTCGAATAGAATAAACTGTGGGTCCCTCCATTTATCATCAAAACGCAAAACCCCCAAATTGAAGCCGAGTTCCTCCGAAAAATCGGTTACAAATCAATAGCAATGGCTATTAAAGGGTAAACTCGTTTATGATGCATGCTCTCGTGAAGATAAATTCATATTTTCATTAGTTGGCCCAGATAGCCAAGTGGTTGGTTTAAGACATAAGCTCCTGGTTAATATTCCCTGGTAAGTGTACCCAAACCCGGCGCACAACCTCACTAGGCGAGTAAGTTTAAAGTAACACATTTATATAGCGAGCCGCTTGCTTCAAGACCGACGCCCGCTCGCAGCCGCACCTCTGGTGTACAGACGCTGCAATTAGACTTAAGCAGATCCTTAAACCGAATAAGTCGGAGTGGAGAGTAAGTATTGCGTATAGCCTCGCAACTGTAACAGCATACCCAAAAGCTTGACTACACCCCAAGCTAGACAACACCAGAAGCGCAGTCAGAGTTGGTAAGGACGTCTCCGAATCGTTCCTTGAGGAGTGCTTCGGTTTACGTAGATTATTTGTCTCGATGAACAACAAGGTTATAATCGCTATGTTCTTAAACATCTATTACATTAATCTGCAAACTGCGTCGTTTTTTGCCGCTGTAGAACAGGGAATCAATGATTTATTTGAAAAAGCCGCATTATGTTGGGCCATCGATAATGTTTTCAATACAACGAGCAAACTAATGAGAATATCCTCTCTAAGGTTTATGTTATGAAGTGCTTGGCACTGAGGACTCCTCTCTTCCACAATTACTCTTTCCTAACTTCTTGGTTCGTAAATAGCGAGAATATTCTCTCAAATATGCTCTGAATCTGAATCTGAATCTGAATCTGGAGGTAATGCTTATTTCACTTATCCTGACTTCCACTTAAGGCATCATAGAATTTTTTAGCAACATGCAAGCCTAAGTTTTTTATGTCTGAGATTATCTAAGCTCTGCTTATATAACATTTGTAAAACATTCAAGCTGCTTTATTTCCAACATATACCAACTTAATTTCACAAGGTAACCCTAATACGTTACACACTTAAACTCCATCTTAGATTTCATACCTAACGCCTGTTCGGAAAGTGATTCGTTGATGAGCATACCTGAGCATACTTTTAGGCGATCATAAGCACCACTTCTCGAATAATTAATGATTCTCGTCTCTATCTCTATTTAACTAATAAGCTTTAAGCGGTTTTTTTTTCATAGCATGACTTAAGCAAATTATTGGATGAAATTATTGTCTACTCTTCGGTAAGAGTTCTTCAACAAATTATCGAAAATTACTTTTATCGAAGTTCCGAGAAAACTTGCAAATAAATTTTAGATGAATACTCATCACATACACATGTAAATGCTGTAATATTTTAAAAGGAAAGCGACGAAGTGCAATGCCCAAAATCTCATTTGCGTAAATTTGTTTCATCCTCTACGAGTTAAGTTGGTCCACAGTTGGCGGCGATTTTTTCTGGTGCAATTTTTCTAGTTTTTTTTGTAAACTGCCACCAAAGACATAACGGTTTTAAATTAAGGTGGCACAAAAGTAAAAAAGAAAAATGCAAAATATTTTTTTCTATGCCACGTAACATGTTTTCACACACTGCTTTTTCTTCTGGCAACGCTTTGAATTTGTGATCTCAAAAAACAGAAATGTGGAAAAATCTCTGCCCTTTTAGGCCAAACACTAGAGCAGTGTGTGTCCTCTTCGGTTGTGGCGCTGTTTCTGCAAACACTCCTATTATGTCGTCCAGGGTTTTAGAAAATCAATTTTTTCATTTATTTTTCCAATTTTTTTCGCCGCTTTGTTTCAACACTCAAGTGAGCAATGTTTGCATCAAAGCAAGGCAAACTTTGATAAATGGCAGACGAGTGTAGCAAAAGATTGAACGGCATATGTGTATGAGTGTGCGTGTGTGGTGGCAACATATGGTGGCATATACTCATACATGAAACTTTACATATACGTATGTAATTTATACATATATATACATACAAGCAATATGCATTTGCGTCGAAACTTTTTGAATGCAACTTTAATTGATTCGCTGTGCGTTTCAAACTTGCCACGAGCAATGGCAGGCTTATAAAAAATGCATATGTGCATATGTATATGTGAGAGTTTGTGCACGTATATATATGCTCAAACATAAATCGGGTTTCAGGGTCGTGCCGAATAAAAAAGAATGAAATATTTGTGTATTTTTTGTAAAAGCTTTAAATTCTTTATTCCTTTGGAAGAAAAAAATATGCAAGAGATTTTCAGTATCGACGCTGTTTGTTGCACGTTAACGCTTTCAATGATTTTTTTCACGTAGAAGTCACCTTTTGATGTGAAAAGAAATTTGTTTATTTTTATGTTGATGCTGTGAGGGTTAAGCAAAGTTGCAATCGGCGAAATTGTGATGAAATGAATTTTTGTGAATTTCAGACAAAGGG